AAGTGAACACTGCTTTCAGCTTCTGTTGGGGCTCCTTGAGTGTGGAGTTCTTTTGACCCATCCTTAATCTGTTTCTCCTTTTTAAAAAGTCATCTTAAATTTCTGGTAGATGTGCTCACATACTATATGTAACAATAATAGAAGCTAACATTTAGGGATAACTGTCAATGAGGCTAGCATAATTCTGTGTATGCTCTCTGCATGAATTCATGAGGCAAGGAGAAGTTTTTAACTTGTTCATGTTCACAGAGCCAATATGTCAGACTTGGGATTTTATTTTATTTATTTATTTTTGAGATTTGGGGTTTTAAACCAGGCAATCTAGAATAGAGAATCTGGATATTCAGAATCTAGAAAGAGACAAGATGCTAAACCAGCTGGTAGCATTCCTCTTTCTGTAGATAAAGCTTCACTCTAAAATTCAAACGAAGATGACTTAGAAAGGAAAGACAGAATTATATATGTTTATTTTCAACTAATTTCCTAAATTTTACTGTACTGTTGCTTAATTCTATTATGAGGAAGATGCTGGCTGCCATTTAAACCTTTTATTTGAGGGTCACTGAGGCTATTATTGTGTTTTATAAAGATATTCTATTACTATGACTGTTTCATTTTGATTTCGTGTGCATTTGTATGTGTGTATGTGTGTGCACATAGGAAACCAAGATGAAAAAGTCATACTAATAGAATATCTTATATTCTACTATATTTTATTACATATTCTAGGTTCCAGTTGAAATGATAAATTTATTTTGTTCCCTCTTTATGCCAGATGATGTGTCAAGTTTAGAGAAAAGTAGATTGCAATGAGCTATTGTTGTGTAACTTGTGAAATGGTTGGCATCATCCTCCAAATAACCCATAGAAAGAATTTTCTATATATTTCAGGATATCATCTCTGGAATCTCTCTTCGATGTGAAATTGTTTTTCAGTTGCTTAATCATGAAATCTTAGTGATTTCTTTTGCTACCTATATTTACATATTCCAACCAAAAAGTACAAATAAGAATTTGCAAAGGGTGTAAGCAAACACCATGAAAACCACATGGTTGATGTGCATTTAAAGGTATAAAAAGGCACTTTACTTCTTTTATTTTTTATTTTCATTTATTTATTTTGGAGACAGGAGTCTCATTCTGTCACCCCAGATGCAGTGCAGTGACATGATCTCAGCTCACTGCAACCTTCGCCCCCCGGGTTCAAGCAATTCTCTACATCACACTCCCGAGTAGCTGGCATTACAGGTGTGTGCCACCATGATCGTCTAATTTTTGTAGTTTTTTAGTAGAGACAGAGTTTCACCATCTTGGCCAGGCTGGTCTTGAACTCCTGACTTCATGATCCACCAGCCTCAGCCTCCCAAAGTGCTGGGATTACAGGCGTGAACCACTGTGACGGGCCTCTTTTTTCTTTTCTTAAATATGCCTCTTGGTTATAATTAAGGATTCAAACAAGAAATAAGAAAAATAAATGCAAGCTAACATAGGTAGAGATAAATACGTATTCCTGGAGCCTATTCCTAGCAAGATAATTGTGTTTCCAAATGTTTTTTTTTTTTTCAGCAATATTTTTCACACTTATGTGACTCTCTTCAATTTTTACATAAGGAGTCATAATTTTAGGGTTATTTGTTAGAAAAATGTAGATTTAAGTTTAGAAATGGTTTTTTGGAACATATATTAATTGAAAATTAATAGATGAATGATTATAAAATGAATGAATTACTGATGTCATGAACAGATTTTGTTTAATAGGGTAATCTTAATGCCAAAGAGACAATTATTTGACTCAAGTTCACATACGTGAAAGCAAATATTGTGTATATTTTCCCCATATAACTTCTGGCATTTTCCTGATTGTATTAATCTTAAAACATAGCAGCTAACAGTCTTTAAAATATACATGAAAAAGAAAGAGGCAAAGTTTTGTGAAAACAAAATATAAAACAATATGGAAAATCCTGAGTTTTAACTACTTGGATATGCTGTTAAGACAAATTTAGATGCAAAACATAAAACCAGGCTGTAATTTTTCTATACAGAAATAAATTATAAAGAGATTCACAGTAATGTAAATTCTCAAAGCTATGTATTAGTAAAAACTGGTTTGAACTTTCTGTTGTGAAAAAATACCTATGCGGCAAAAGCATATAAACAATAAATATTAGGATTAAGCAAATTTAACAGAATACTTTTAGTGTTTGTGATTTATTTTAAAATATGTATTCATATTTTGCAATGAACACTTATAAAACAACATCCTGTGAATATGTTTTAACATAAAAATAAATCTGAAGAATGATGAGGATGGCTCATTAATAAGGTTTTTAAATTCCTATATGTTTGGAGAACTGAATTCTGTGAGACAATTTTATATGTGTTGACTTTAGATTTGGATTATCTATTTAAGAATGCTCTTAAATAAACCTCAGATGTTTCTACCAAATAGTTTTTAGGTAAGCAAAATTTTAATGTAAAATAGAACTATGATAAAACATATGTTGCACTTTAAAAGGAGAAAAATGAAAGGTAATAATTTAACCATCTATCTGCTTCTAATTTAATCTGTGGTTTGGATATAGTAAACTACAAATTATCCAACTTTGGAAGAGTTGCACAATTACAAAGTCACATTTTTGATAGACTTCTATGGACATTTCAGTCATTAAAGTGAACCACAAGCATATGTACATGTTTAAAATATGTATTCCTCTGTAAAACTTCTGATATTTTTTCATTTACTTTAAATTCTCAGTTTGACAAGCTATAAGACCTTTGAACTACCCACAATGTTCAATCCAGAGTTCATGATTATTTTCAAAGATTTTTTAAAATGTTAGCTTGCACATTGAAAAGTTTTCAGGCCAGTTAATTTATATATGGGAGTTATAAAAGCTTTTTCTATACATAAATTGTCATCTATTGGTCTTTAAACATAGACACATTAATAAGGTTTTTAAATTCCTATAAAGAAGAGAATGAGAGCTGACTTCAAGTACAATAGAACAGTCATCATTTAAGAGCTTCTAATCTCAAAGGACCTATTTTTGACCAAGAATTGCATTGTGCCACATCTGTTCTCTTACACTCTAGACTAACAAATAGCAGTTGTATTATAACTGGGGAAAAGGAAAGTGAATTTTCAGTCACTCCATCATGGAAAAGAAACTCAGAAATGCCCTTCTTTAGATTAGAAAAATAAAAGTGAAGTTTGACATTACGTAGTGATGGCAAGGTAATGGGGAAATAGGCCCTCCAGCTGCTTGTAGGAAAGTAAATTTAATCTTTCTGTTCTACTCCTAGAAATTTATGTAAAGAAGAGTAGGCTTGTATAAGGTTATATATGCATAAAGATATTCAATAAGACATTTTATTTTAAAAGTAAAAAATTAGAAACAATATATTGCCTATCAGTAGTGATAGTAATAATAAATAGCTGTGTGTTCACACAAGTACTCTAATGTCATTAAGACAATAAAAAGGGAATTAATTCATGTGAAGGTGATACTTCAAGTTTACTCTGAACTTTCTGCTTCTCTGTTTTCACTTCTCAACACACAGAAGTGATGATAATATATAAGAGGATAAAATAAGGGAGATACTGCCTTATGAACAAAAAATATATATCTCTGAGTAACAGAAATATAGTACATATCAAGTAGTGTGCTGAGCTAAAGCTAAGTGCTTTATTGGGTTGGGTATATAGGCTAGCAGAAATGAACAGTTGCTCAGTTCTTAGGGTCAATAGAAATAAAGCTGTCCCATGTGAAGCTGGGATTTGGAGGCAGACATTACTGGAATTCAGAACCTGAAAAGAAATCCATTTGCTTTTGAAAGGAGAGTTGAAGAAATATATGTATCACTGCTAGTTGCTTCCAGGAGTAGTTACCTAAATGAAGTCCTCTGCCTAAAGAGATGGGAGGACACAGGCGTGGCAATTGAGCCGAATTTCTGTCTGGCTTAAAGACTAAATCTAATAAAAGTCCAATGTTGTTTGGAGTTAGAATCCCATTGTGTGTGTATATATGTTGTATTTCTGAACCAAGAGTGCTGGAAATAATGGGGTGGGACAAAGTCAAAATAGCAGTACCTGTAGATAGGGACAAGTGAATTAATAAAGTCAGAGAGAAAAATGAAAGTTCTCATCCAAATGAGATTACACACCAGAATTGTAACATACATGAAGAAAGCTATCTCATCAAAATCAGTCATTACAAAATGAATTATTCATGATTAAATGAAAATAAGCAATATGTCTGAAAAATAAGTTTACAATAAGTATGTTGAGAACCTCAAGAAAAAGAAATAAAAACCAATACTCCTAAAATGACTAAGAATTCAGCACAGATATGACCAGCAGAATAATTGCAATAGGAAAAGGTAGAGAATGAGACTGTCTTCTTTAAGGCTGCTATAACAAATTATCATAAACTGGGTTGCTTAAACCACAAACATTCATTTCTTATGGTTTTAGAGACTGAGAAGTCCAAGATCAAGAACTGGCAAATCTGTTGTCTGTTTAAGGCATTATTTCCGGTTTGCAGATGGCAATCTTCTTATGATATGCGAGCACTACTCTCATAGCTGATTAACTCCCAAAGGCCCCACCTCCCAATACCGTCATACTGGGGATTAGGAGTTCAACATGAATTTTGTTGGGATACAAACATCCACTCCATAACACCTATAAGAAAAATGTAGTTGAGAGGCGGCTCTCGTGGAGGCAGCCAGTGCGAGGCTGGGGAGCGCTGAGCAGCGCGTCATGCCCTGCGCTGCCCAGACTAGCGAACAATACAGTTAGGATGGCTAAAGGTGACCCCAAGAAACCAAAGGGCAAGATGTCTGCTTATGCCTTCTTTGTGCAGATGTGCAGAGAAGAACATTAAGGAGAAAAACCCAGAGGTCCCTGTCAATTTTGCAGAATTTTTCAAGAAATGCTCTGAGAGGTGGAAGACAATGTCCAGGAAAGAGAAATCTAAATCTGATGAATGGCAAAGGCGGATACAGTGCGCTATGATCGGGAAATGAAGGATGATGGACCAGCTAAGGGAGGCAAGAAGAAGGATCCTAATGCCCCTAAAAGGCCACCGTCTGGCCTCTTCCTGTTCTGCTCAGAATTCCGTCCCAAGATCAAATCCACAAACCCTGGCATCTCTATTGGAGACGTGGCAAAAAAGCTGGGTGAGATGTGGAATAACCTAAATGACAGCGAAAAGCAGCCTTGTATCACTAAGGCGGCAAAGCTGAAGGAGAAGTATGAGAAGGATGTTGCTGACTATAAGTCGAAAGGAAAGTTTGATAGTGCAAAGAGTCCCGCTAAAGTCGCCCAGAAAAAAGTGGAAGAGGAAGATGAAGAAGACAAGGAGGAAGAGGAGGAGGAGGAGGAGGAATAAAAAAACTGTTTATCTGTCTCCTTGTGAATACTTAGAGTAGGGGAGAGCCATAATTGACACACTCTTACTTGAGAAGTGTCTGTTGCCCTCATTAGATTTAATTATAAAATTTGATCACGATCATATTGTAGTCTCTCAAAGTGCTCTAGAGATTGTCAGTGGTTTACATGAAGTGGCCAGGGGTGTCAGGAGCACCCTGAAACTATATCTAAGTTGTACATATTTCCAAACATTTTAAAAATGAAAAGTCACTCTCGTGTTCCCCTCACTCTGTGCACTTTTCTGTTGGTGTGACAAGGCATTTAAAGATGATGTTTCTGACATTTTTTTTAATTTGTAAGGTGGTGTTAACTATATGGTTATTGGCTAGAAATCCTGAGTTATCAACTGTATATATCTATAGTTTGTAAAAATAACAAAACAACCAAGACAAACTCTTGATGCTCCTTGCCTGGCATTGAGGCTGTGGGAAAGATGCCTTTTGGAGGGGCTGTAGCTCAGGGCGTGTACTGTGAGGCTGGACCTGTTGACTCTGCAGTGGGCATCTGTTTAGCTTCAGGTTGCCTTGTTTCTGTATTTAGTGACATAGCATTCTGCTACCATCTTAGCTGTGGACAAAAGGGGTCAGCTGGCATGAGATATTTTTGTTTTTTGTTTAAGTGTGGTAGTTTTTAAACAAACTGTAGAACTCTTCATTGTCAGCAAAGTGAAGAGCTGCTGCATCAATGAAAGTTCAAGAACCTTCTGTACTTAAACACTATTTGCAACGTTCTGGTTTTTTTTTAATGTTTAGAATACTGAAATGTTTTTGAAGTTAAATAAACAGCATTACATTTTTAAAACTGTTCTCTATTATGACAGTCAATTTCTGACTCACAGCAGTGAACAAACCCCCACTCCATTGTATTTGGAGACCGGCCTCCCTGTGAACGTGGTAGCTTCCTTTATTACTCGGTGGCCAGCTCACTTAGGGCTGAGATGAAGGAGAGGGCTACTTGAAGCTACTGGGTGCTTTTGTTTGTGTCTGAGTGGCATTAAGATGATGTCTGGAGGAGCTAAGAGAAGGACATAGGCAAGGTTGAACAGCCTTCCATGGTACAGGAAGGTGCATGATGAGGACTAAGGCTGACTTGGTTTAACTTTTTTTGTTTCACCTCCACCCCCTATTTTGTGGCCAAATGCATTGCTAAATAGCAATTTCAGACTGGCTGGCCTTTCAAAAATTCAGACCTTAGTTCTCCTCTTTCACGCCTACCCCTGTTCTCCGGGCACATGTTATTTGTGGTGCCCAACATTTGGGGTCTTGAGCCTGCTGCTTGTCTCCTGGATACCAGTAAGAGTATTGGGATGGGGTGGTGGGGTAGGAGACAGTATCCATGTTGCTCCTACTGTACTCCTTCAAAACTCCAAACCCCCAAGGAAGATTGTAGGCTCCATCTTGGGCCACCTGAGCTATAGGGCAGGCTAATAGAATCGACCATTTCTAAGCACTAAATATATCATGAAAAGTTGAATTGGCTACTCACAAGATTAGCTCATTCACTGGAAATGTAGACTGATGTTCAATGTTTTTAAACTGGAAGCTTAGTTTGTATTAGTGGTGTAACTTTTTCTCCAGTTGGAGTGAGGTGAGATGGCCAAAATGGCAAGTGGTGACACTAAATGCCATTTTGAAGGCTGATGTGTACATACATCATTACTGTCTGTAGCAGTGAAGGATATAGCATTGTGTTGTGGGTGAGTGTTGCTATTGCCCAGCATTAATATTTGGTTGTAGATGTTTGAGGCTATGAGACATGCAGGAGTGTTTTTGAGGAATTTTAAGAGAAAGCAGCTTTTTCTTAAAATTCATTGTTCAGAAACTTGCATTTGTGGAGGCGGTGTCCTCTCCACCCTGTCGGGTCCTGAATGAGTACAAGTTATGGTCATGGTCGCAGCCTGATCTCCATGTATTCATAGCCATTCCCTCTCCCATCAGAATTGTTTGTCCTGTATGTGTTCTGTAATTCTAGAAAATGACCACTAATTTAAAAATCTTGGTCGTGAGGTTTGCCCAGAGGCACTTGTTCTGGAATTGCCGCTCCTGCTTCAGCCATGTCCTGTCACTTGGCATTGTAAGCTAAAGCTTCTGCTTCCCAATCCATGATGTGCTAGGCCAAGATCTGGGAACTGTGTCCAGCCTTGTCAAATGTGGAAGAGAAACAACCTGTAGTAAAAAAGTGATTTGGTAAGTGGTGCCCGTCTACCTTGTAACTAGACATACCAACCAGGGAAGGGCAAAGGATGGAAAGGGGTAACTTGTGCTTCCAAAGTAGCTAAGCAGAAGTAGGGAAGCAGTTTAGCCAAATGATTTTTGATTAGGCAAACATTGAGGTTTAAAGAGACTGTCAAGTTGAGGCCACTTGGTCCATTAGCTAGCTGGTGCAGCCAAGACCACTACTCAGCATTTTCATACTGTCAAAAGATTGCTCCTCTAATGGAATAATGCCCTAGTTTCTCTTGAGATGCTGTAGGTGGCATGTTACCTAAGGCATAGATTTAGCTTGATTGCTGGGCTCACTGTGTTCTTAAGATGCCAACCTGTTGCTCTTTTTTCCCCCTATTTCAAAAGATAGTACCTGTTCTCTCTAACCACCTCACCCCATTCTTGAATAACATTTTATCCTTTGGAAAGAACAAGGCTGTGATGAAGTGACTATTGTCCGTGTCTCCTGTGTGTGTCTGTTCTTGTCATAAATGTATTTGGGGACATTGGATGCATTCATTTTTCTGAAATAAAGTTTCTTAATCACTCTTCCCCCCCCCCAAAAAAAAAGGGAAGAAAGAAAAATGTGGTTCAAAACCACAGTGGGATTATATTCTTTCAACATCAGTTGCTTGATAATAAATGAGCCCAGTTAATGCCCATGCTGGTGAAAGTAGAGGAAGAAGACACATTGCTTTCAGTGGGGACTGGTGACTCTCTATGGAAAGCAATGTATTTCAATGCTTACAATGTGTCTGCAATTACACATACAATTCCACATCTAAATATTTATCATATAGATATATTCATGCATTTGAGGAGTGAAATGTTCAAAGATATTTAAAGCTTTATTAAATGTTTCATAAAATTAAACTAATACATATCTACATATACTCTTCCATGTACACCAAAGTTATTGAAAACTCTTTCAAATTTGACCATTATGTTAGGTTACAAAGAAGTCTTAAAGTATTTCAAATAATTGGCAATTTACAAAAAGCATTCTTTACACACAAAACAAATTAGAAATCTGCAGCAGAATGATTTTTAAAAATGTATTTGACTTCAAAACAACCAATGGGTTAAGAAACCATAATACATATACTTAAATATTTAGAACTGAATGAAATGTGTAGTACTTTACATCAAAATGTTTATGACTTTTAAAAAAATAAACTGTATTTCAGATGAATACACAAACTGTATTTCAGATGAACAATTTTAGGTTCACGGAAAAATTGAGCAGGAAGTACAGAGACTTCCTATACACTCCCACCACTCTCTCATATACAGCTTCCTTCACTATCAATATACTACACCAGACAAGTACATTTGTTATTATCAGTGAACCAACAGTGACTTATCTTTCTCATTCAAAGTCCATGGTTTACATGAGGGTTTACTTTTAATGTTGTATATTCTTTGGGTCTTGACAAACATATGATGACATGTATCCATCATTATGGTATCATGAAGAATAATTTCATTGCTCTAAACATCTTTTGTACCCTGTCTGTTTATTCTTCCCTCTGCCTTAGCTCCTGGAATCTACTGATCTTTTTACCCTCTCCATGGTTTTGCCTTTTTCAGAGTGTCATGTCATTGAATCTCATAGTATGTATACCTTTCCATATTGGCTTCTTTCACCTTGTAATATGCATTTAAATTTCCACCATGTCTTTTCACAATTTGGTAGTTGATTTCTTTAAGCTTTGAATAACATTCCACTGTCTGGATATACTATAATTTTTAAATCTGTTCACCTATTGAAAGGCATCTTTGTTGTTTCCAAGTTCTGGCAACTATGAATAAAGCTGTTATAAATATCTGCATATAGGCTTTTGGGTGGACATACGGTTTTAATTCATTTGGGTAAATACCAAGGAGTTCACTTGCAGGATAGTATGGTAAGAGTGAGTTCAGTGTTTGTAAGCAATGGCAGGACTCTCTTCCAAAGTGGCTGTACCATTTTGCATTCATTTACCTGTGGTGAATGAAAGTTCCTGTTGCTCTATATCCTTGAAAATCTTTAGTGTTGTCACTGTTCCAGATTTCCATCATTCTGATAGGTGTACAGTTGTATCTCATTACTGTTTTAATTTGCATTTTCCTAATGAAATATTATTTTCAGCATCTTTTCAAATGTTCATTTGCCATTAAATTGCTTTAATCGTCCAATGTTGCAAACAAGCTAAATAGGCCAAAATAGGGCACTAGGTGCAAATATGATATTTCTGTATAGTAGAATGCTTTGATATTTGGAAGTCATTATAATGCACTGCCATGGACACTTCTCTATGATTACATGTGGGGTGAAATGTGAAGAGCACAAGAGTGGGCACAGCATGTCATATCGATTAACGGAAAGAAAACAAAAGTATATTCTTTATATAATGAAAACATTTCTGGAAGAATTCATAAGAAACTATTGTCATTATTTGTCTCTATATATGGGGAAAAATGGCTAGGAAGAATGATTGAGAACGTGTCATAACTTTTACTGTGTCCTTTTTTGATTGACTACCTTTCCAAGAGTGGTGATAGTTTAGCACTCACTCATCTACCTTCCACTCTCGAGTCCACTGAAATAAGCAACATACATTTTGAAATCAAGTCCCTGAGTAGGATTAAAAGTTAAGGACAAGTGATCGTTAGCAGAAGAATGTAACAGAACTATCATACTCTGTTCTGATCTGCTGTGTAATGAAAATCCACTGTGGGCTTCTGTGAATGGCAAACCATTATTCTTGGATATTTTTGGATTGTTTTGTTTTCCTTCCCCTATTGCTGTATCAGTGAATACAGAGTAAAATGGTGAATTTAATCATTGTTGAAAACCAATCTGGATTATTAGAACCAAAAATATCCTATAATGGTATAGTGATTTTGTTAGAATTATATGGTGGGTTATATATGAAGTCTTTCTAAACATGGCCCTTTTTTTTTTTCTTTCTGTCACCAGCCCTATGGAATACTTCTATTTATTTCTGATGAAAATAATATGTTGAGCTGTTCATTGTTTATGTGCTAGAAAGCTAATAAAATATTTTGCATACTTCCTTTTATGAGCCAACCTATATTTTTCCTTGATTCCTTCCAGTGACAGTTTTAGACCTTTTGTTGTATGCCTATTCTTCCGATTTCCCTTCATTGCTGTCTATAAAGAAGAATAGACAATGCTCCTTTCTGCCTAGGAAGACTCTTCTTCAGATATTGATCCTGTGGCCTCCTAATCCTCGTGGGAGCTTGGTCACTTTTCTGCCTGGCATTCAATTTTTTTCTCCACACTAATAATTTTTCTCCACACTTTCTCCGCATAACTATATCTACTTCAATAACCTGAGAAACATTTCTTTGATTTTGTCACGTTTTCCCTGTCTTCCTTCTTCCTGTCATTAAATCACCTCATGTAAGTACCTAGATATCTTATGTCTCACTATTTCCTTCATCCCTTGCAATCTAACATGCAATTGCTTCCCTTGATGGAAATTGCTATTTCCATGGTCACCAGGAATGATTTCTGAGTTTATGCTCTTCTGTGTTTTGAGTCCTACTCTGCCTTTCAATAACTGCATGAGTGCAGATGGGTTACTAAACCTCTCTACATTACAGTTTTCTGATCCATAAAGTAGATATGATAGTAATGACTGGCATAATGTATAGAGTTCCTTGAACACAGTAAAAGCTTAATGAATGACATTTTTTACTGTTAGTACTGCACTTAGGCTTCTTTCTCTGCAACCCTTAACACTGCTGCATGTCCTCTCCTTGTAATATTTTCTTGTGAATTCTCATATTGGATTTTTCTCTTTAGCCATGTAACATTTAGACTCCTCTTTTTATTTCACTTTCCCTTGCCCTTTTTCCTCTGCCTATCCCTTATATTTAATTTAAAAATGTACTTGTCAAGCATATAATCTGTGTCCAGCATTGCAGACATTTCTCTTAATTTGTTTTGCTCCTTCTCATCTTTCTGCCAGGTCTTCATAGCAATCTCTTCTGTGCCTAGTTTTAACCATCAACTCTAGGCCTCCAAAATCTCTGCCACTGACATTTACTCTTTACTTGCAACCCATTTTTTTCCCATTGCAATGCTAAACATTCTGTTCTCTCTTCAAAGTCAGAAATGAGTAAGCATTTCTCATTTGTTAGAATATTTAATTCCTTGTACACAGATTTAAAGCAGAAAGCACCATTTGACACTTCTAACTTGAAATCATTTTCCAAGTCCTAGTCCTATGGAGGTTACCACTGCAGTAGCTCCCATATCACCCATTCCATTCACTACTCATATCTCATAACCTAAGGTTAAGCTTTCATGATCTCTCACTCAAATCTTTGTGGGGCCAACTGTTTTCCCCTGATGGTCATTAGCTTCAATCCACTCTACACACAGTTTTGGCTTCCTCTTACCTCTCAAGATGTGACCTAAGCACAAACTTTCAAAAAAATCTTTCAATTGTTCAAGTTGGTCTGAATCATATAGACAGTCTCCACTGCTCATTCAAAAAGTGTCTCAATTTTCTTAACCTTCATCAGATTAAGAAACACTTCTTGAATTAGGGGCCCCAAACTGCTTCATTCTTACTTTTTTGACAGGTGCCACTCTTTCCTGCTTTTATACCTTTAGATAAAAGTTTCATATTTTCTGTGAATTAAAACAAATAAGGTTTAATATTCAGCATATAAAACTGCATATGTTCAAACTTACCCCCAAAAATCAACCATTAAACTTAACGTACATGGTTCTGTGTATATAGCTCTGATGATAATTTGTACCTGTAGCTATAATATAAACAAGGTATGTTTAGCATAAAATAAAAAGCAAATATAAAAATTAGAATTTTATAATGAATTCACTTAGCGATGAAATGAAGGTCAACATAAGGAAGAACTGATTATCTTTTACTATCATGCCCTGACATATTCCCATTGAGAAGCAGGAGTAATCACTATGCTATTACATTTTTATTTCTTTTACCAGTTCCAGTTACTTGCTTTTGATTTTGCGTAAGGTAAATCTTTGAATGTTAAGACTGTATGCATAAGGCAGCCATCTATATTAAATGCTTTTTTCCATATGGAAAATTTTCTACCATTTTTCAAAATACCATTCCAAAGAATAGCTCAGTAAAGTTTGTTCTTATCCTTCCATTCATATATATGTTCTACCTCCTTGAAAATCCGTAGCATTTTCTGATGGTTATATGGCTTTTATCTTACTGTATTTTATATGTTCAATATTAAAATATTTGTCATTACTAGAGTTATTGCTCCACAAGGTCAGGAATTTGTCTTCCCGATCTTTCTATATTCTTCAGTAGCAAATCAAGCATATGATAGTCAAAAAGTATTTGCCAAATTGAATTGAAACCAAGCATTGTTAGAGAAATAAATATGTAGGTAACACTAAAGTTTAGTAATATAAAAAAGTTTAGAAGATTAGTATTCAAAAGATTAATATTCAAAATTAGTATTCAAAAAGATTAGTATTCAAAAGTATAATAATACAGTCGCAAGCAAATCTATTTAGATTTTCTCAAAGATTCACTTCTTCATATTAATATTTGTATTCTTAATATAAACTGCCAGTCATATCCCAGAACAGAAATCATCCCATTATAGTGTGTATTATCTTTTATTAAAATATAAACAAGTATTTTCTAAATAAGTCAGTTTAGAAAAAGATACATCTATTTCAGAAAATGTTCAAGAGTTTAACACAGAAAAGAGAAACTCCAGGAGAGATTGGATCAAATTATTTTGAAAAACTAGAATGTTTTCTACAATAACAAAAACTTAGCTTTTCTATAGCTGTTGACTTTGTGGTGGTATTTAACCAAATTTCTGGGGTTTGAGGATTTTTTTTTAAATTTTGCTGTTACTTATTCATTCTTATTTTCTTTGCTGAAAGGACAAAACTACAGTAACTAAAATGAAGTCTTTCACACATAGTTATCAAGTTGGAAACATCATTATAAATAAATGAGAAAATAGTTCGTAGAGCTCAACTTCATACTAATTATCTAATATTGTTTTCATCATCTTCTCAAAAAGAATTAGTAAACACCAAGTGATTTACTTGGTTATTTGAATGACTCAGGCACATTTTTAAAAACTTTAAAGACTTTTGGATTTTCTCTTTATTAGATACCCATAATTTCTATAATACATTTTACTATGATTAATGACTACTTATTTCTTACATATAAAGAAAGGAGCTTAAACAAAGAAATCTGCGATATTTGTTCATTCAAGATTTTATGTCCAATGACTTGATTAGGTACTTGCTTAGGTAAGGATTTATCTTGATATGAATCAAGTAAAAATCAATATGTTTAAGGCATTTTTACTGAGGTCATTTGCTTTTGGGTTTTACCTAATTCATGTTCATGAGTTAGAAATTAATTAAACTTATCATACCTGGTTCACCTTCTTATCTACATTTTGCTAAGAACTAAAACCAAACAAATAAAAACAGAGAGATGCAATTAAGCTTCAAACAGCCCCTGAAAAATCAATAAAAAGAGGAGAGCTATTTAAGCTCATAAAATTCATTTAACTTATGTATTCACATTTATTTATATCACTGGTGATATTATGTGTTTTAAAGTTTTACAGTCATCTAAATATGATTTTTGTTTACCTTTTCCAGGCAGTATCTATATCAGGGATGGCAAATAGCTTTACTGCTATTCTGACTCTAAAAGATTGATAGTGATTTATGGATATATCTGTTGAAACAATTCTAAGGTCATTCTGGAGTCAGTGTTTGGAAATGCCATCATGGATTAGTGATGTCTCTGGGAAAAAAAGGTAGTTGCATCTTGATAAACCAAACTAAAAATGAAAATTTGCATATTCTTGAACCCTTGCAAATGACTTCATACCATTTAATGCTTAAGTATAGAATGTCATATTTTAAACTATAATGATATATTATACATTGATCTTGTCTTTCTAACTAGATTACAAGCTCCTTGGTGACGGGGAGCAGGTTTTAGGCTTTCTTATATTTCTGAAAGCCCTTAGGAAACGGTAAGGCAAGAGTAACTTCAACATACAATTTTTACAAGAAGGCTATTGAATCTGTTAGGCTTCATTGCATATGTGTGTACATAATTATTTTTTTAAATGAACCACTATATGGAAAACTTATGCAAGTATATGGGAGAAGGAAAATAAAGCAGCGCAAGAATATTCAATGGAAAATTTATCTTACTCCTACAAGTTTCCAATTACTAATTCTTTCCAGAGGCAATCATTTTAAACTATTTCTTGTGTAGCCCTCTAGAAAGAATTCAAGTAGAGACAAGTCTATTCATGCACTTGTATTAATAAATGTGTGGAAATATAGTCATAGATATTGATAAATAGTTAATCCCTTTTAACATATCAGAGACTACATACACTGAGTTCTATGCCTTTTTAAAATTAATTTTGGAAATTAGTTTTTATTCACTTATGTAGATTGACACATTCTTTACTCAAGCATATACCTTTAATGTATGGATGCATTGTAATTGATGTGACCAGGCTTGCAGTAATTATTTAAATTGTTACCTGCCTTTTCCTAATAAATAAAAAACATCAATACATATCCTATCATCTCTGTGCATTTATGAAAATATATTTATGAAAATATTTTCTAAAATTAGAATTACTGTGGTGAAGAGTTGACACATTTTATTTTCTGGATTTCTTGACATTGCCATAGAGAGAAGTTATCATAATTTGTAGCTTCTTTGACATTTGTGCTGTTTCCTACATCCTTGTCAAATCTAGATTTATATTATTCAACTTTTTGATCTTGATGTGTCAAATAGAGAAGGAAGGGTGTCAACTGATTATTTCAGTTTACCCTTTTTAATTAAAAGGGATGTCAATATCTTATGTTTGTAAACCATTACTATTTCTTTATGAATCTTGCACTTGGATTGTTATCCTATTGATTTAAAAGAATCTTTATGTTTAAAAAAAATACATTTTTGTCATATAATGAAATATTTCTAAAAATATGATGAAATGTCTTTTCTGACTTACTGTCCACCTTGTCTATGGACTTTATTGTTGCAATATGGAATAACATGTTTATAAAATTTAGTTTAATATTTGTATTTCTATCATCCTTATTTTAAAATGATTACCTCTTTAATATATCTATAATATGTCATAGCATAAGAAGCCAAGTGAAGATTCAGCTTTGTTGTTTATCCTCCAAACTGGCTAATGAGGTGATACTACATCATTAATTTTGTTCTCTACTATTTCAATTGTCAACTTTATATATATATATATAATATATATATATATACCATCTACATAAATGAACCTATTTCTAATGTCTTTGTGCCCTTTAATTATTGATATATTTATTGATGTTCATTTATAAAAAGTATTTTAGCTACTATTATCTTAAACTACTTCTAAATAGTTGGCATACATAGTTTCTACTCATTGAGATGCCTCTGGGTTTTTTTTGTTTTTTGTTTTTCTAAGATTATGAATGATTTTTGTAGTTTTATTTCTTTAATTTAAAATAAACTTGTAGGGTTGCATTAATATTGTTACTATTTTGAAAGAATTATACAAATTAAAAAAACTTAGTGTCTTTACAGTAATACCTAATTTTATTCAAGACAAAACAGTATCTTTATTCAAGGATTTTTTTTTCATATTCTTTGTATAATTTTGAATTTAATTTTAGAAATTTTTTTGTATAAATGTTATATAGTTCTTGTGCATTTTAACCCAAAATACTTTCTTGTATGTAAAATTTTAATTGGCCTTTTCTTCTAGTATATGCTCTCTGTAGATATAAAATCTACTTTTATGTTATTTTTGAAACTAGCTACCTATTTTTGAATTCTTAATTTCTTGTAATTATTATGTAATTTTAATGATTTTATAATTATATGATTATATTGACAACGTTGAATATCAAATGTATTTTTGTAACTATGGAACTGAAATATTATATTTCATCCATATCTATGGAACTGAAATATATTATATATTTTTTATTTGATATAATAGTGTGAGTAATTATTAATATATTTTTATATATAAAATATTTTGCCCCTATATTTTAATTATTTTAAAATTCCTTGCCTATAAGATTTGAGAAGACATTTAAAATCATAATGACTTTTGGACATACACAGTGTAATATTTTTCATTTCCCTTATTTTTGCCCCACCTTTTTTTTTGCGAAAATTTCTTTTTTTTTTTTTTTTTTGAGATGAAGTTTCACTCGGTAGCCTAGGCTGGAGTGCAGTGGCTTGATTTCTGCTCACTGTAACCTCCACCTCCTGAGTTAAAGTGATTCTCCTGCCTCAGCCTCCCAAGTAGCTGGGATTACAGCACGCACCACCACGCCCAGCTAACTTTTTGTATGTTTATAGAGATGGGGTTTCACCATGTTGGCCAGGCTGGTCTCGAACTCCTGACCTCATGATGCACATGCTTCAGCCTCCCAAAGTGCCCAAAGTGCTGGGATTACAGGCGTGAGCTACCGTGCCCTGCCTACCCAACTGATTTTTATAAGAATCTAGTATGTAGTCAGTCAATAGTATTTATCTTTAGGTACATTTAAAAATTTTATGTGGGCCAGGCCTGGTGGCTCATGCCTATAATTCCAACACTTTGGGAGGCCAAGGCAGGTGGATCACGAGGTCAAGAGATTGAAACCATCCTGGTCAACATGGTGAAACCCCGTCTCTACTAAAAATACAAAAATTAGCTGGGCATGGTGGCACATGCGTGTAGTCCAAGCTACTCAGGAGGCTGAGGCAAGAGAATTGCTTGAACCCAGAAGGCAGAGGTTGCGGTGAGTCAAGATCATGCCATTGCACTCCAGCCTGGGTAACAAGAGCCAAACTCCATCTCAAAAAAAAAAAAAAGAAAAAAAAAGAGAAAGATTTTATGTTACAACTGAACGTTGTATAGTCTCGGAAGCATAATTAATTAGAAGTAAATGAAAGACAATTTGGAAAGGAGAAAACTTTTCAGTGAACCATTCACATAGACAACAATGCCAGGCTTGGTGGCCCATGCCTGTAATCACAGCAGTTTGGCAGGTTGAGGTGGTAGATCAACTGTCAGGAGATTGAGACCACCTGACCAACATGGTGAAACTTCATTTCTACTAAAAACACAAAATTAGCCAGGCATGGTAGCACATGCCTATAATCCCAGTTACTTGAGAGGCTGAGTCAGGAGAATTGCTTGAACCCGAGAGGCGAAGATTGCAGTGAACCAAGATCATGCCATTGCACTCCAGCATGGGTAACAAGAGGGATGTCCATCCCAAAACAAAACAAAACAAACAAAAAAAATGACAACAATGACAATTGTTCTCTTTGTGTTTCACACTGTTACTGTTGAATAATGCTGACTAAGCAATAATTATTTTCTTTTTTTCTGCTAGAAACAATAAAAAATTTCTATAAATTCTGTCTATACATATGTTAGCTGCCAAAATGGTTGATGCCATTTGATATTTATTTATAAGAGGGCATGTAAATATGTCCAGTGGGGAGTTAGGGTGTTGAGGTTATAAATATAAATAGAAGGACAACCACTCCTGCTAAAGTACGTTATTTACCTGAATTTGGGTTTCTGACAGGCACCAAAGGCATTTACCTAAATTTAGGGATATAAGCACTGATATGCAAATGTATCTTTAAAATTTGCTTTTATTTTTGTGATTGAACTTTCAATTAGTTACAGAAATCTTCTATCTCTCTCTCTCTCTCTCTTTCTAGAGATGTAATATAGTTTCAAGCAATGACTTGAAACTAAAGAAAATATAAAAGCTCAAACCCTAAGATCACTTTAATGACCAGGACAAGAAATATTCAAATGCTGTCATGAAAATAAACTGTCAAATAATAAGCAAATAGATTTTGTTTTCTTTTGCTAAAGACACATAATTCTGCCTGTGACTGAAGACAATAATGGCTACTCATTATTACAATGACCTAATCACAAAAATCAAACACATGCTACTTCTGTTTTCTTAAGGGAGATGCATCAACAAAGCATGGGTGTGTGACGGAGATATTGATTGTGAAGATCAGTCAGATGAAGATGATTGTGACAGTTTCTTGTGTGGACCACCCAAGTATCCTTGTGCTAATGACACCTCAGTCTGCCTGCAGCCAGAGAAACTCTGCAATGGGAAAAAGGATTGTGCTGATGGCTCTGATGAAGGCGATCTCTGTGGTATTACATGTTTAACTGCATTGACTTCTCTGTGGAAACTACAACCTTTTAGTTTGCTTGCTATTACTTAATATAGTGGCATTCATTCTTTTGATTCATTTCCTTTAAATGTAACTTTTAAGTCACTTTAGCAGTGAAACTTATCTACATTTTTCAGATACTCTAACGTATAGAAAAAGTTTTAAATGTCATCAGAAGTTTCTGAAAAAAAACACAGAAAAAGCTAGCCTATATAGAAGTACTTAATTTAGAGCTGTGTTCATCATTTAGATCTCTGGGTGGCCAATGCTGTTCCCCCATTTGAACTGATTATTTGTTAAGTGAGTCACAGAGAACAAGAAAAACTTGTTATTCCTCATCTATGGGATAGAGCTCACCACCACCCTATATATTTTGATATGCCTTCTTACCATTACAACAGAAACTGATTTTTAGGAAGAGAAAGAGACTGGATAACAAAACCAATTGAATATTACCCAACTTGACATAATTTTCTCTCCAGTTTTCAGTCCTCATACAACAGCTTTCTTTAGTATGCTTTATCTAGTTAAAATGATGATTTCAATGAGCTTTGATATCCCACTGGCTAGCAAGCTTTCTTACCAACCAGCACCTACAAAAGAAAATTACATTTCCTTCTCTTTGGGGAGATCAGAGATTTAGCAAAGAGATTTTTAAAATGTGTTTCCGAGATAATATTGAAGGTGACATCAATAGAGCAATAAAGAACAGTTTACAAAATGATAAGACCAATAATGAGATGACTTGAGGCTATGAGAAAATGACTTTAGGAAATAATGAAGCTAACTGAATGAAAGTAGAAAAGACAACTGCATTGAAGCCTAAAGTTATATTTTGACTGTAAATGAGCATTAATAGCATACTGAGTGATATAACAAAGAACGTTTTTTTAAACATATGTGTCAAAATGTCTTTTTTTTAAGTCGTGATTTTATAAAATAACCTTGAATCAGTGAATGCAACAGTCTTCATTCAACAAGGCTAAAATTATACAAAAAGATTCAGACCAAGAAAAAGGAAAAACAACTAAAATTAACCAGCAAAAATTATAAATAAAATATGACAAACTTCATTTTTCTGTATTCATTTCTTTCTTGCCCAGCTTGTTATTTGTAGTGGAATGGCTTGATGAGAGTTTTGCTCATGAAGGTTATAAATACAATTCTAAAAGGAATTAGCAATACTCTTAAAAGAAAAAAAGAATGGGTGGAAAAACTCTAGACTTCAACAAGCTTAAATTCTTTTCTTCAATTAAATCATTTGAGTAGGTGACTTATTTCTTAAAATGCTGGTTTCTTATAATTAGAATAGAGGCAATGGTATTAGGTAATCATGGTAATAATGCCTGATGCTACAGCTATTGAAAAATATTAGTACTTTTCTACCTTTTCCCCATCCTTCAAGTTAAATGAAATAAATAAAAGGCAAAAGACATAAAGTACATCCATTGAGAAAAATGAAGAAAATAAGGAAACACAGTCTTATTTTCCTATTCTTCACTTTCCCAGTTGGGAAAGTAGAAGAGTAATGAGGGAATTCTCTTTAATTCATTTGTCTACTTCAGAATTGAAAACCACTTCTTATCTAGCCATATAGTCATTACTTAAAGAGTTTTGCCCAAACATATCAAAAGATTATAGAGATTGAAATGGATTATAAGAAGAAATTTGGTGTGGAAGTACCAGAGAAGATTAAAAGACTATTTTAATTGCAGCATTGTGGCATATTGAACTACACACCCTATTCTTTAAGTGGTGAAGTTATGAAGAGAACAATAAAAGCAAAAAGCAAATACTGGTCAAGGGATTAAATTGCCTTTTCTAGGATTATATGCAATGTATATAAGGAAAAGGAGAACCCAAGAATTTAAATCTTCTAATTCTAGTGAAGAGATTAATTTTAGGGAGTTTTAAGAATAATTTCAAAAGATAAAGGATTTCCATTTAAGAAACAAAAAAATAGACTTTAAAATGGAGTTATATTGATCTTTGCTATAAGAATATGTCAAAGATAAACAAAGCCAGATGCTAACTTGTCAAACAATAAGTGAAGATTTTATTCATTAGCAACTCTTGTGATAGAAAAGAGACTCCTGTGTGAACTGAGCTCAGCTTCACTGAAACTAAAGACTGGAAACTTTTAAAGGTGGGGTTTTCTAAGGAAAAGGCACTAAGGGGACTAAGGGGGCTGGTCCACAAGATTAGACCATCTGATTTTGATAATTGATGCTTCACTGGAGGGGAAAACAGACCCGTCTTATCTTTGTGGTAGGAGGCAGTGGCGGAAAGTGAGAGTAAGGTACCCACTGGGCTGGGAGGGAGAATGAGAGTGAGAGTTAACTTCTCAGATGTTTGCATTTCAAAGAGAAAGCTCTGGGCTCCTTAGAAGACAGTTCTGAGTAGTAGAAGATTTACATCTCAAAAAGACAGAGAAAGGATTTATAATTGCAAGGTTTCTAAAGCAACTGTTCCAAGAGGAGGTTCAGGGCCTATCTGCCTATTACCGTGATGTTTCTCAGGGAGTCAATTTAATGTAGGGGCTGGGGTCACTCTAGGGAATGCACATTTAAGCTGCTAAACAATGTGCTAGTGATTGTTCAAGTCTCCTAGTATGTATTTGTGGCCCACAGGCATGGGGAGGGGTGGTGGAGGTAAGGGCAGGAGGATGGAATCATTTGTGCTTGGAGTCTGCAGTTTTTATAGGCCAAGGCTAAGGTCTAGTCAAGAAGAGGACTTAGAGGATCCTGACTAGTGTTTGGTCATGGAGAGAGTCTGTCAGGTAATAAAAAATTTTTAAAGAAGTTGCAAGATAAATGACAAGTTTAGGCCTAAGTAAGAATTAACAGGTTCTACTTATGCAAATAGTGGTATTAAATGTATTTATTCAATTTCAGATTTCAATGTGAATTTCATTTAACCTAAAATCTGTGACTTCATTCTACAGATAGTATTAGAAAGAGACACTTTGGTACTGAGAGAACAGTGACATTTGAAATAAGCTAAAAGCATTGTAACAATGTCTTTTTTACCTCCTGGGCACAGTGACATTTCTTTACAGTAATATTCTTGAAAAAGAATGTCAATTGAACTAAAATGTGGTAAATACTTTGAAATGACTGCTGTTTTGAAATGCTTATGATTATGGGTGAACAAACATATTTGGAGAACCAAGAGCTGAATCTATTTTTTCTTCTAAAATAATACCAAGCTTGAATTGAATTGTTAGAGAAAACAGTTAATACAATCATTTTCCTTTTCTTATTACTATAGCTTCTTTGATGGTGAAAAATTATATGAAGAAGAGTTGACCCATATAGAGCTTTTAAACTGTAGAAATATTTTTTTAAAGCCTTACATTTCAGGCCAATTTTTGTGCTGGATACATTTTCATAGAAAGCCAGAAGTATTTGCAGTATGTAACTAAATATTACTGCAATTTACCAATTATTAGACAATAGTCTTTTTAGCACATCTCAAAACATACACAATTAAATAGAGTTTGAAACACATTTCAAAATATTTTTAAAGCCAAGAAAGACAAAGCTTCTTTCGGCCTTTTTTCTATGTACCTAACGGTACACAGTGGTAGGTAATGTTATAGTTTCAAAGACAATTATCTGCCATTTTCTTCAAGGTTATCAGCATGTCATATTGAAATTTTCTCAAGTATACAATACTGAATCAATTTCAGGGCAACATCTGCTTTTAGACAATTTTGCTACTTTAAAAAAAATCATCAAATATTTCTAACTTGGTACTCAATGTTAGATATACACTGGTAAACATAATAGATATTTCTATACCCTCATGGAACTTGCAATTTGGTGATAAAGCAGAATAATAAATATATTTAAAGGACAGCTATGTATTTAAATGCTATTTAAAGAGATAATCTTTTTCTTTACAAACTAATCGTATTATCTATGTAACCAATACTATTGACCACTGTTTCAGCCAAGATACCAGGACAATTTTTTTTTAGTGTTTTGCTTATGATGTTTCCATGACATCATTGTATGAATAATAATAACCAACATAGGAGGCACAATGTACAATTCACCTAACTTAAAGATAAATTCCTGCAGTCATTAATGGACAAAGTAATCAATTCTGCATTGTAACTCCAGATTAGACTGTACAAATATTGCAAAAGGTATATAGATATTATGTATATATATTCATATGTGTATAAAGATATGCTTGTTAATTTATTAACATCAAGATATGTCTGATATTCAGATCATCATGGCATGCGCATCATTTGTGGAAGACCTCTACAAATGATTTTGCACAGCTGCCAAAAGGCTCAGCATAATCTTTCCTGTCATAACAGAAATATTGAGCGCACTTTACAGCTGTGGGGGAATATAGCAAACTATATTCTGAAGTTTTACAGAAATGAAAATCTTCCATTTAAAATTCATATCATATAGAATTAAATTTGGCCTTTGGATGAATTCTGTCATAATTTCTATACCAACCCCTGAAGAATAAAAAATCCAAATAGGGCTTTCTTATATTCATTTATAGTATCCTGGCTAATTGTAGGCTTAGAGAATTGAGTTCAATGATTAGCATTTAACCGAGGAAAGCAATTGAGAAGACCTATAATCTGTTCCCCACTTTTTATAGATGAATGTTCACTGAACAATGGAGGCTGTAGCAACCACTGTTCTGTTGTTCCTGGAAGAGGAATTGTCTGTTCCTGCCCTGAAGGACTTCAACTCAACAAAGACAATAAAACATGTGAAATCGTGGATTATTGTAGCAATCATCTAAAGTGCAGCCAAGTGTGTGAGCAGCACAAGCACACAGTCAAGTGCTCATGTTATGAAGGTTGGAAGCTGGATGTAGATGGTGAAAGTTGCACAAGTGTTGGTAAGTAGATATTTTGCGTGGGTTACTATATTTAAGAATATATCTTAAAAAAAATTCCCAAAACAGCTTCAGAAAATTAACAAAAGGATTCAACTAATTTTAGATAAAGCATTTAACTATAATGTGTCATTTTAGACATACTACAAAATTTCTGAAGAGAAAATATGATAATTCTTACGTTTGCAATCCATTGAGTTGTTACCATCAGATTATTTTTTCCTGAAACATTGATTTCATGATCGGATCCCGAATGGGCTTGTTTTTGCATGTGCAAAAGCATTTGCTTTGTTTCTCTGTGTATGCTTTTTTAGGGGTTCCTGCCCCACATTCCCAGTAGTTATTTCTACTGCTCTTGAAAACAATTTCTTGCTCTGGCTGTGTTCATCTTTTAACTGCTTATTTAAAACATTGTGTGGATTCTCTAGGTGGTTTTTCACAGTGGGAAAGGCAAACAAAGGCTTTAGATTATGATATTCAAACTCTAATTGTGTAACTGACATTCATTCTCTATGTGACCCTAGGCAGGTTACATAACACTTTTGAACCTCAGTTTTCTCATTTTTCAAGTAACATTGTCAATTATAACCATTTCTTGCTTACAGCATGTTGTAAAAATAGCATGAAAGGAACTGTGCCTCACACCCATAGGGTGTCTAAAGAAGTATTGCTTCCCATCATCTTTTCCAGATTCTTGATCTGAGTCCACAGGAAACCTAGAAGTTCATAGATAGAATTGAAGAGATCCAGGAATTTTGTTTGGGAAAATATTATAGATTTATTTTAACTTCGAACTGAAAGTTAGCATTTCTTTTTACTGTGAATGTATGCCACAGACCACAGAAGTCATTAGCAGCAACTATGAATTTGCCAATAGAAGTAACAGACATATTCATATCACATTATAGTTGTTGCACCATATCTCAAAATATGACTTCTGTTCAGGCTTTGAAATCCACTATTAATTCAATAATGGGACTCATTAGACCCACTGATGGATCTTATTATCGAATACACTAATAAAATCTTTTCTGTGGGGGAATATCTCTTCAACTTGTTCCAAGACAAAAAGAACACCATATCAAATAAATACTGTATTAAATAAAGTTTGAATTTCATGCCATCAAGATAAATATATAAGTAAACACATTTGTGATTATATTCAAAAATTATTTAATTTCAGTAAATATGTTTCATTTCAATATGTTTTCTTATCTATACTTTTTGAAAAACTTTATTCTGTTCTTGTACTTTTAAAAACTTTCTAGTATTTGCTAGCACAATAGGGTGACTTTAGTCAAAAATAATTTAGTTGTACATTTTTAAAAAGCTAAGAGTATAATTAGATTGTTTGTTATACAAGGATAAATGCTGGATGTGATGGATACCCTGATGTGATTATTATGCCTTGCGTGACTGTATCAAAATATTTCATGTAACCTGTAAGGTAACTGGGGCCAGTGGCACAGAGGGTAAAGAAATTTCCCAAGACAGTTGTAGTTAAAGACAGGCAGGTTTAATGGCCGGGCGTGGTGGCTCACGCCTGTAATACCAGCACTTTGAGAGGCTGAGGCGGTGGATCATGAGGTCAAGAGACCGAGACCATCCTGGTTAACATGGTGAAACCCCATCTCTACTAAAAATACAAAAACTGAGCTGGGCATGGTGGCACGTGCCTGTAATCCCAGCTACTCGGGAGGCTGAGGCAGGAGAATTGCCTGATCCCAGGAGGCGGAGGTTGCGGTGAGCCGAGATCACGCCATTGCACTCCAGCCTGGGTAACAAGAGCGAAACTCCATCTCAAAAAAAAAAAAAAAAATGGCAGGTTCATTAGAGAAAGTATGAAAATACATTGCAAGGTTGCAACAGGTAGCTCAGCAGAGAATGAGCTGTCTGTAAAGAGGCAGGGGCTGGAAGGACATTTTATATCGTTGTGATGGAGGGAGCTACTTGTGGAATGAGATCATTGTGCCCACAGAACAAGAAGGTTGTTGATTATGATGAGATTAACCATCTATCAGAATGATTGTTCTTTCTCACCTGGAGCTCTCCCCCACTTGAAGCTCTCCCCGACCTGGAGCCCCTTCCACATTATTGCTTTCTTATCTTATCAGGCCTCCACATAACCCATAAATATAACACTACTATAACACCTACTATGTACTCACAAAAATTAAAATAAAAAGTTATTTTTAAAAAACACAACTTTCTGAGGAGTCCACATGCTTCATCAGACTGCTAAGAACCCATACATTATGAATTTCTATTCATGTTGTTTTTTACACATAGATTATACTTTCCTCACTTTATCTCCAGAAATCCTGGATATTTTTTGAGACTGTCTCAAGTCTTTTTTTCATTAATTAAATCTTTTTCCAAATATCCTTGTTCTCTATTTTTTCTTTCTATGTCTGGGGTATATTGTTCTTGTATATATGTTATCACATTTTTAATTGGCTATTTTATATTTCTAGATATTTTCTTCCCTTATTTCTTGTCTTCCAATAAAATAATAAACCTTCATTTTACAAATCAGGTTATAGACTTTTCTCTTGTGTTTTATGTAATATCCAGTCCAATTCTGGGAAAATACTATACAGTTAATAAATATATTCTTTTAGAGATTATATTATTTTAATCTTTTATTTTCAATTTTGTTTTTGTTTTATTTGTAATTATTTTTGCAGCAGTTTTCTTCTGATCATTAAAATTTGAGTCCTAGAGAATAAGTATAGCAGATATTTATTCTACACTTTCTTCTTCAATATTCTTACACAAAGTAATTGGCTTGAGAGCCTGAAAAATAGCAATTTGTTGTGATGGTAATAGTCATTTCATTCATCTACATGTTTCAGATGGAAAAACAATAGATGAAATATTGACCACAGACACACTTGTTATCATTATTGGAGAATTGGCTTCAGATGACAAAATGATTGAGTGTTTTAGAGTGGTTACATACCATATGAAATGAATAACATCTTATGTCTAATATTAGAGTGATATTAATTTAAATTAATATCACTCTATTAATTGAGTAATATTAATGTCTAACATTAATTTAAATCCAGGTGACCAAGTACAAAGTTAACTCTCCTAAGGGAATTGACCCCTCTGCTCTCAGCTTAGAATGGAAGTATACGGGCAGAAAGAAGGTGTTCCCTTTCCTCCCCATCATAAGGGTCATAGATAACTCTCCTACAACAAAGACAGGTTAACAAGAGAAAATCATAGCAAATTTATTTGATCATAGTTTTTTGTTTTGTTTATTGTTTCTTGTTTTTAAAATAGTATAACAGGAGTTTATTGATAGGCAATTTGATTAGTAGAGTTACAAATACAAAAAGGAGGGAAGATTCCCAGAAAGAAGACATTATTTCTAATAAACCTTCAAGAAAATCTTGATTATTAAAATGGCTCTTATCCTGTAAGTGTTGCATATAGTTTTAGCTCCTCAGAGCCCTCTATCAATAAGGTGTCCAAATTGGCTACTGCTGCCTTGGGGAATATTTCTTAGTGTTGTATTGGTGCTTCTCTGACAAAGCATAGTTTTTTTAAATCAAGACAAACAGTCACATATTTATGTAAATCCTAAATTCCAAGTATGAACACTGCAGTTGACCTGATAGACTGGTATACAATCATAAATCCTTAGATTAACCATGCCAGCCTCTCATGAATTATTGGAATTTCATAAATATATGAAGTGTTAACATAGAAATGAAATGGCAACTGACTTTGTGAAAGCTCACATATTGAAACTGAATGAAATCTCAAGCTGTAGTGTGGAGTTAGAAAATTCTGTTACCAGGCAGCACTCTCTCACCATAAAAATAGCAGCTATCTACTGGTTTCTTAATGCCAAACTAATGATGATTTTGAAGACCAACTTGCTCACTGCCATACCCATGATTCAAATGAAGAGGTGTTTCTGTCTCTTGATTTCCTTTCTTTTAGGTTAGTTGAGAAGAGCCTTGAAAGGGAAAAAATATCATTGAGTAAAACATAATCTCCTGGAGTATCGTTTTATTGCAGATACCCTTGACAACAGGAGCCTCTGAAGCAGCGGCACTCCAACAGGTTCTAAATAATTACCCCGTAAGGTTCCCACAGACCTGGAGAATGTCATGCAAACTTCTTGGCGGCCATGAACCTCTCCATGTACTTATCATAGGCTTCAAATTCTTGAAGTTTCTTTACTTCAAAAAGGATTACCTTCCACAGCAAGGGAACAGATCTGATAATCACTGCAGATGCTTTGTGAAAGCATGCTGAGCTCTCCCAGGTGAATACTTTTAAGGCAAGGACAGCAAGATATCTCTATTGAGACCTGAGATATCTGCTTCTGGTTGAGGTTGAGTTTGATGACCTGCAGCTGTCTTAGTTATCAGGTATACTTTGAATCTGGTTCTTGGAAATATCTGCCACATCTGGTGCCCTAGGCACAAAGTTGGGTGATAGTTCTCCCAGTTGGTTCCCAGTGAGGCTCAGGGTCTTGAGGATAGACAGTTGCCCAAACGTAGATGGCAGCTCTCTCAGATGACTGCCCTTTAGGTATAGCATCTCTAGTTTTGGGTGTTTTGTGTGTGGATTTCATAATCACATTAGGCAGAACAGTCAGTTTATGTTGTTCAAAAAGAAGTTCTTCAGCAGAGTGAACTTCTGTTTCAGCAAAAGCGGTAGATTCTCCATCTTGTTGTTGGACAAATCAATGGTCCTGAGAGTGCTTGTTAGGGTCTGCAATTCTAAGGGGTACTCAGTCCACAGTCCTTAAACTGAGACACCAGTTTAGTGTGCCCATTCCATGTGAGTGCGGAGGGCACTGTTTACTGTCCTAGTACTTCAGCCCACATTCCTCCTACAGCTCAGCTGCCAGACGGTTCAGCGGGGAAGCCCCAGGACCCACACTAGCTGGGTTGCATTCCCCAGGCTTAGTCCTGGGTGGGAACCTTATGGTAGTTTTATGTAACACTGAAGTGTTTAGAATGAAGACCCAAACATCT